GTTATCGATCAACTTGTGACATTGACCTCGACCTAAAGGACACTAATATGGAACATCTTTATAAAAGTCTATGCTAAGAATACTTTCACAAAAAGGAAATGCTTTATTAAAGAATTGTAAGTTTCTTTACAAAGATGCCTCTTTGGGGGGGAGGCATCATCCCCTTACACAAAAGAAAAAAAAAAGAGAAAGATAAGAAGAGCATCTTTCGACAAGAAACTCAAGTTTCATTATCTCAAGTGTCTTTACAAGAAAATACCTCTTATGGGGGAGGCGTCGGCCCCATGCAAAAAAAAAAAAAAAACAGAAAAAGAAAAAAAGAAGAAGAGAAGAAGGAAGAAAAAGTATACAAGTTTTAGGGGCACATAGGCCAAAACAAAATAAAACTATCTATTAACCCCCTCCGGTTTGAGCTGTGGTGTCGGTAGGGGCACCGGTGGTTGGGTTCTCATCCGTCCCCAGTATATCCACTAGTTGTTAAGCTTTAGTAGCGAATAGGTCCAGTTGGCCGATGTTGAAGCTTGGAAGAATCTTCAACACTTGGGCCTTGCAATCATCGGAGCCCTCTAAGTAAGACTGTGAGGCAAAGGAGGTCAAGTCCATCTCGTGCTCCTCCAATGCCTTACATTTTTCGACCGCCTCCGCAGCCTCCTCCTCCAATTGTTGCCCCACCGACACTAGGGAGAACTTCAGCTCCTTCACGAGCTCCCTCTTGGTGGCCACCACAACCTCGACCCTCTTGCGACGTTCATGCTCGTTGTGGGTCTGCTCCTCAGCCTCTGTTGACTAGTGCCTTAGGCTCTCGATCTCCTCTTGCACTTGTCGAAACTGCTGGATTAGCACCTCCACCTTGCCATAGAGACTGACCGAGCAGGAGATCATCTACACAGAAAAGGTAAAAACCGACAGTCGCATCCTGCCAAGAAGACCTCGGCCACATAACAAAATCGAGATGTACATGCATACCGCAGTGGCCTTGTCCAAAAGCATGTCCCGGACCAAATCCACAATGTGTTGTGTCCACAACTGGTGGTCGCTGGGAAGGACCATGCCGACTGCTAGTTGCCAGTCGAGACCAAGCACCGACAAGGAGTCCCCCTCTCGTATGCTCCACTATGGCTTGAAGATATGATAGTTGGTGAGCAACTCTTTATCTCGGGGGTCAGACAACTGAGGTGCCCTTGGGGGACACCTCCTTCAAGTAATGTTGCAACTAGCGAACAATGGGAGTGTCCATATCGAGGGGGGCAGAACTAAGGCCGACCATCACCAAGGCCTCCTCCTTCACCAAGGGTCCAACATGAATTGTCCCGCCCAGCCAAAGCCGATTTATCACGGCCTTCTCCTCATTGTTGCTACGTAGTGCGACCCTCTCGGCCAATGGGGATAAGACCCCAATGTCACGCCTCGACGCTCAGCCTTGGCCCGCTCCTCGGCCGTGGGTCCCTTGGTCTCTTCCACATCTACTACTTCAAGAAGCGCAAGAACATTCCTAGTGGCATCAACCCTCGACCATGTGGAGCTAGTACTCTTATTAGTAGAGTCCACACTCTGTTGGTCGCGCTTGGTCCCGTGAGATGTGACCCTCTGCCTCAACACTTGGACGCTAGACATCCGAGAGGAGCTCTCTAAGTCATTACTATAGCTCTCATCATTGCTAAGAGTGTTGCTAGGAGTAGTCCAGTCGGGAAGGTTGTAAACTTCAAACCCATAATCCGAGGCCAACATGTCAAAGACAGAGGTTCTTTAGATAAAGATGTTAATGAAAGGAAATCTAAGGAGTTGGTTGTGGAAACCCAAGAGGTCCTCAGTAGCTCCAAGAATCAAGGTTTCGAGCAAATGGTGAAGTCTCACTTAGCCAGCCTCCCTATTTAAAGGAAAATGTACGGCCCATATTCAATTGATCCAACGGTCACGGATCGATCAACCTAACAGCCCGAACCGACGAGCTCCACCTGGAACCGATCTTGGGAGATGAAACAACACCAGTTCACCCGTCGACTCTGGCTGAAGGGCACGCCAAACTGGACCCCCTTGTGTCATCTTGCACACGACTTCAATCAGTCAACCCTGGCGCTCATTCTGTGTATGGATGTATGACGGATGGCGCCAGCACTCGTGGGGGGATGAGCAATGCATGCGGGTAGCCTACGCCCGTGCAAGCCACTATCACACAGCATCGGCCTGGAATGATCCTTTACTGACACGAAGGGTGGACAGAGGAGCAAACACTACAAAGCCATTCAAAAGAGTTCTACTATCGAGGTTGATGCCTCCACACTAATCTACTACACTCTCTTCGGCCAAAGCCAAGGCCTCGACAGAGCCCGCCAGCCAACCTCAATCGCTACAGCCTCAAGAGCGGGAGGCAAGTGATGTAGGGGTACCTGGCTGACCTGTGGATCCTGACACTTGGCATTGGCCAGATGCATCTTGGCCATCCCATGGATCCTGACACGTGGCATCAGCCGGATGCATCCTGGCCATCCATCATCAATCACTGCCAACCACTACCACTTGCTCCCAACTACCCCTCTTCTAAGGCAACTCCAGCTATAAAAAGGGTCTCCCACATTGAGGTAAGGACACATAGACTTAAGCTCTAAGGTTCCTCTCTTGCTTGGTCTGACCCCTCACAAGTCTCAACTAACTTGTTCATCAGAGTTTACGCCCCTGGGATAACTCCTAGGGCCTCTGACGTCTTCTTTCTCTCGACAGGTTGGATCTATCGACCTCGAACACTAGAAATTACGCTTTGCCCTCGGCTCCTTATTTGGCAACAAGTTAGCCATGTTATTTCACAAGCAACGGATGATATAGAATGACAAGAGGTAGGTAAACTACCCCAATCGGAAGAGAGTACGTAGTATACTTGTGCTTGGAGAGAGAGGATTTAGTGACTAATATACAACCGATACGATAGTATACAGCTAATAATTAATAACTTATGAAATACTGTAGCGTGGAGCATCCTTAACCTCTATCTCTGTAGTCTCAGAACACCCGATATGTTGTTGATGATGATGCATATGCATGATTTTGATGGATTTTTCTGCATAGACTAGAAATTAAGGAGTTGGAAAGTGACCAAAGAGAGAGGGGGCTAAGGGACCATATATATCTGCCTGCCTAGCTATGCTTATTCTTCTGTCATTTGTCCACATCCACTCACCCGGGTAGACTATGACAATTCAATATTCTCTTCATCAGTACTCTTCAACGAACCAACAGTGGACCGTGGCCACTGAGTCATGGAATCCATGCATCCTACAGACAGTGCAGTTTTGCTGAAATCTGCCAGTCACCATGGAAATATTGCTAGCTATAGCTAGCCATTCAAATTGACCTGATCAGAGACTGGGCTACTATTATTTATGCAAACGTTGAAATTTGGACGGAGGTGAATGCAAATGCAGAAACCAGGTAACCAGGTATTGATTAAAGTCATGGCTCTTCTCCTGTCTCCAGACTCCAGGTTAGAACGGGTAGATCTCCGTTAATAAGACAATATCGATCGCCTCTCCTCGGCCCTCCGCCCCCCCAACATACTTCAGATCACCCAGCTAATTGTTGCTAGATGAGATGGGATACAAGGTGGGATCTGATGGTTGAGCTTGAGCAGATTCCAATCTGAAATCATCAGCAAAGTTTCCTCTTCTCCTCACGTAAGGGGCTGGCCTGGGCTACCACACTAACCATTTGGATTCCTGACTAGGCTCCGGTCTCACACGCAGGCCTATTAATAATACCCATCAGACCATCAAATTGTTACATAACATAATAATCTAGATTATAGAAGGGAAATTAATTAAGGTTTTTTGCAGGTAGTTTCCTTCTTTTGGAGCCCTGAATGCTGTAACTGTAGTGTGCAGAAGGGCCCAGAGCAGAAAGTCCTGAAGTTTAAAAACCAATGTGGGTGGTTGGAAGTTGTATTGTTGTACAACCAATCTCAGTCCAAACCATGAAAACTCGACCAGGTTCTTCTGTGTTTGAACCATAGTGAGGTGGCAGTCACAGAAAGGTCTTGTGCTGGTTACAATGAGCAAATTAAAGCAGAATTGATTTTGTTGAAATAAACAACAGAATTAAAATCGGATCACTGTAACAATAAAGTAGCGAGAAAGAGAGAAAGGTCAGAGTTTGGGTCTGTAAAATCTTGTGCTGGTTACGATGAGAAAAGCAGTACTCTTGCTGTCTTGCATTTGCAAGAAAACACAAAACAGATGATATTTTCCCTATTTTTTTTTCATAAAAGAAAGAAAAAGTTGTATACCGATGGGCAAAAGTATGATCGAAGTACGAGTCGATAGTACATTTAAATCCGGGCATTAAATCTAAGTAAAAGAAACAAGAAAAGAAAGCTGTACCAGAAGAAAGCTAAGCCATGCCTGTCACACATGCTTTAGTCTGATTGAGTTGGGTTGATGCAACCAATTCCATCACCTTGTGATCGAATTGGCAATCAAATAGTCTGAGTTCGATACCAGTACACATCCAAGTCAGAGGGCATTTCTTGGTGTCCACATTATTCTGCAATGCTGATAGTTATTCATGAGCAGAGGACATGGCATGTAAAGTTACAGACTTAAAAGCATCTCTCTCTCTCTCTCTCTCTCTCAATCTATCTATCTGTTTTGTTTCAAGACTTGAGAGATAATTAAATACGAGCAAAACATAGATAATGAGTGGTCTATGTGTTGTTTAAAAGGCTGGGTTGGGTCTCCCAAATTTAGGTGGTGTGTAGGAAATCAACGACATGATTGCTGGTTTTGTTTTTGAAAACAAAAGCAATTGCCACATCAGCAAAATTATATTGTTTTTGCTGATGTGGCATGTATACATATATGATAGCTTCGAATTATTGATTAAGATTGGAAAGAGAAAAAAAAAAAAAAAAGAAATGGTGGGTTGGGGGTCTCCCAAATATAGTTTCACTTTTAACCTCCTCTCTTTATAAAGGACCTCTTGGTCAGTTTGGACTGAAACCGAGAACTCAACACTCTCATTAGTTCTTTCAGTTTATTCTGCCTATTCTTTTAGTTTCTATCTACAGTGGGACCAGAACCATCACCCAGTCCACAAGATCTCCATTAACCGTCGTGTGACATGGAGTCAGATGATGCTGCTATGCCTATGACGAGGTTCTGATCTCTGGCTCTTTTCTCTCTCTCCCTCACACACACAAACATACACGCATCTTTTATCTTCATCTTGTGCACAAGATAAGCAGCGATGGAGTTGAATGAGTGGCAGCAGACATGGAGTGGAGGGCTTGATAGAATACTGTGTATGCAAGGAGGAGACGACGACGGCAGCTACGCCAGGAACTCAGACGCCCCTGCATCTGCCATCAGCTTATCAAAGCCATTGCTGATTGCAGCCATTCAATCCATGCGGCTTTTCCACGGGGAGGCGTCACTGAGGATTGCAGACTTGGGCTGTGCGACAGGGTTCAACACCTTGTCTACCATCGACTTGGTCATCGACACCCTGAGGGGGCGCTATAACAAAGACTGTGCTTTCGAGCCTGAATTCGAGGCTTTCTTTTCTGATCTCCCTTCCAACGATTTTAATTCCCTCTTCCGATCCTTGCCTCCATTCATTGATAACAAGAAGAAGCGTTACTATGCAGCTGGAGTGCCGGGATCCTTCTACCACCGCCTCTTTCCTAAAGGGAAGCTTCATGTGGCTGTCAGCTTAAGCGCCCTACACTGGCTTTCTCGGGTATGGCCTGTGGGTATATATCTTCATTCTTATTCTTACATGCAGTACTATTCTATTAATAATATATATATATATTCTAATTTTCCTTTGTTATTAATTACCATTCCGTAGGTATTCATTTAGTATAATAACGCCTTCTCCTCAATATATACTTGTATTAATTATACTATTTTTCTTTTAATCTCGATAAAATTTAATTTTGTTGGGACTTGGGAAAGCTAGCTAGAAAATATAAGAATTGAAGAAGTTACATATGACTAAAAAAATCATATCATGGGTTTCATTCAATTTCAAGTTTTCCATTTTTTTTTTTTTTTGCTTCTCTTCTCCTTTAATTTTGGTTGGTGATGTTATATATAGATACCAGAGGTGGTGTTGGATAAGAGATCACTGGCTTGGAACAAAGGAAGAGCTTGGATTGATGGAGCAAAGAAAGAGGTTGTGGAAGCCTATGCTAAGCAATCCGATGAGGATTTGAGGGCCTTCCTACAATGCCGAAGAGAAGAGATTGTCGAGGGAGGAACGTTGTTTATATTGATGGCCGGACGGCAAGGCTTGGAGCAGCCGGAGAACCAGTTAGGTGACCCTGATTCAAGGGCCAAGCACCCTTTCACAAGTTCCATGGATCAGGCATGGGAAGACCTCTTAAATGAGGTATTTCTTTCTTTCTTTTTGGCATATGCATATATATATATATATGGAATAATGTAATTAAATCTCCTCCTTTTTTATATAATTTCCACCCTAAAATTGACATGACATCACCACCCTTTTCCTCGTATTTCTTCATTCCCTTGTCTCCATCCATCTATACTCGTATATAACTGTTTAACGCATGCACCCAATTAAGCTCAGACCCTTTCGATATGGCTGTTAACCTCTTCTCATCTAGGGGCTGGCCGGGAGGAGACAAGTTACTCTTTTAATTTGTTTTTGTGTGGGGAACCCCTCTTCTCTTCTCATGTATAAAAAATGCCTCGATTCACCAAACTCAAATACGAAACATATATCAACCTTTCACTTGGTGTATTGCTCTTCTTTTGTTCTTTTCAGAGGTAACTTTATCTTATGCTTGGTTTGAGAGAAAATAAAGAGTAACTTTATTCTATCAACCTTTATGGTATATGTTTGGTTTAAGTAATTAATGTGGGTCCGGTCATTACTTATGGTATATGTTTGGTTTAAGTAACTTTATGCTATCAACCTTTAAGTAACTTTATGCAGTTGCATCCTTATCATACCATCTAGTAATATTTGTTCCAAAATGAAAGCCCGTTGATCGTTGAAACCCTGATTTTGGTGGAAGGTTTGAAATTGGCTTTAGAGGTGGGTATTTCTCGCATCTTAGTTGAGAGTGACGCCCTCACTTTAATCAGATGTTTGTTGGTGAATTCGTTGGATCCACATGGTCTATTAGCAACTTAGTCGCTGATTGCAAACAACTGCTGTATTGCTTCTCAAGTTATTTGGTTTATTATATTTCTAGAAAAGCTAACATGGCTGCAAATAAATTGGCTATTACTTGACAAGAGTTAAAACTTGGTCTCAAGTACCTGATTTCCTCCTCAATACTATTGTACAAGAGATTCATGTAAACCGAGTTTGTTGATGAATGAATTTTCCCCAAGGGGCCTTCTAAAAAAAAGTACTATTTGTTAAATAATGCATGGGATAGTGTGCTGCCATTTTCGTATAAATCTTGTCGAGAAATTAACTTAATTAAAGCACTAGCTATTACTGTATTAAGGGAAAACAAGTTTAAAGCACTATTAAGCTATGGTTTATTAATTAGTTTTTGAAGCCCAAAATGGCCTTTTGATCATCTGAGATAATTCAGTTTGTCCAGTAATCTTGGAATGCGTTTGTTTTGAGCATGTTCCGATCGATTTTGAATTGAATATTTCCTTTTTTTATGATGGTTTTTATTTGTGGTAGGGATTGATTGATGAAGAGACAAGAGACACATTCAACATTCCTGCATACATGAGAAGTATAGAAGAAGTTGAGAAGGCTTTCCATCAATGTGGTGGATTTGAGATACAAAGATTGGAGTACCAGAGAATAGTAGAGCATTCAAAGGAGAAACAAGAGGAGTGGATAAGGGATCCAGTTTCCTATGGTAGAGCCAAAGCCAATCTAGTCCGGGCGACACTCAGACCTATAGTTGAGGCTCACCTTGGACCCAAACTCTCTGAAGAGCTATTCAAAAGATTCGAAAAGAGGGCCTCTGCTGACATAGAAATGCTTCACAAAACATGCTTTTATGGTGTCATTGTTGTATGTGCAATCAGGAAGTGAGATAACTAACTAAACTACCTTTGCCTGAGTTGTATGCCTCCCATCAAACACATACATATATAACTATGCAGACCCTTCACACCCAACTACTCAAGTCAACATGAAAAGGAAATTGATTGAATAGGATGTATACACTGTCTAATTGATCAGTGAACCCAAGTCACATACATTTTATAGATGAAGATTGCTTTGTTTTATTTTCATTATTTTCTATGGGTGGAATTTAATTTGTTCATGATCATATAAAACACCATTCATTCGATTTTTATATATATCCCCTTTTACATTATAATAAAATAGATAAGGAAAAATGAATGGAACGGGAGAAATTTACTCTTCAACTTCAATAATATTATATTTTAATTTCAATCCATATTGCCAGAGACTGGAGACTGGGGAACATTAATCATTTAATTTTCACTACCATTATAGCTATCTCCCAAATTGTATGGTGAAGATTTCAGAGCATAGAGATATTTCCACATGAAAGGTTCCCAACCATAGAGATACTTCCATGTAAATCGTGACAAGTGACAGAACAAGAGAACAGGACTATAAGATACTTCTTGTGGTAGTAATTGCACTTCTTCTCTTAGCGTGCACGGTCTGCTTGCATGCCGCCTTAGGCACATCTCTCTTTTATAGTTTTACGCTGGTCTAATGAAAGCCAGTCTTTTAGTAAGCATATATAAGCAACTGTTTAGTGTATAAGCAATTCTTTAGTGGCCGCATATGTTATGGCCATTTGGTAAACAAGTTGTTCTTCAAGATGCACACAGACCAGCTAATGAGGAAGGAAGAGAAATTCTTTACAACTACGTCTTAGTGAATCTCTCTCTCTCTCTCATCAAGATAAGGGAGGGATATATATTGATTGTTAGTCTGTGGACAATGGACAATGAATCAATTTTTCAAATGGTAGTTGATGTACTTAGAAGAATTTATCCCCTAAAAAAAGACGCCTGGCCAATAATTTGAATTTTGAAATGCTCTCTTATCTAATATTCCAACAGAGCAGTACTCAACATTGCAATTACAAGAGTGCTATGTTTTGATTCTGGCTTTTTATCTTTTTTCTAATGATAAAAGTTTTGTCATCATGAATCTTAATATAAAGTAACTTTTCTTTCATTTTTGGGCCTAACACTCAAAAATAATTTTTGGGATTTTTATGGGCCTTCATAAATTATTAATTATATTTATATTTGTTTATCAATGTCGAGGGGGGATAAGACATAAGAGAAAGGGGAGGAGCCAGGGTGGTCATTAAACTATTGAAGATGAACCAGAACCAGAAGAAACACGTGGTCCTCAACTTTACACACGCAGAGTCGGCACACAGTACAGACCCCCTCTCTCTCTCTCTGGTGCAGACTGGAGACAACTGCAGCGATGGTATGGGAGTTGGAGAAAGGAAATTGATGGTTTTGTTGACCAGTCAAGTCAATCATTTGCCAGCCTTGAGGTCGGAGCGTGTAAAGCTGACAAGCTGTGGAGTGTGGGCCCAACTCTATCAGCTATCACATCGGATCTGTTATTCTGAGGTCTCAACTTTCGTCCCCCACTTTTCTCTCCCTTGTGGAAAGGCTTGCCCTGGTCCCTATTATCCACGTGACCTGTCCGCTGTGTCCCATGAAAGAAAATAGACCACAGAGAGAGAGAGACAGAGAGACAGAGGAACCCCAGAGAACGAAGGGCAGGTCTGTAGATCCTTTTGTTTTGCCTACCCTCGTCTCGTCACTCTCGTGAAGTATGTGTAAGGTAAGGTTGCAACAACACCAACACAGAACTGAAGACAGAAGCAGGCCATTAGACCCGTCCAATCCACTCGTCGGGAATCTTTCTCTTGAGCTGACGCCATAGACCTACACTTCTCCCCTCCCCGGCCGGCCGGCCAGGATTGATGATGTATGTATTTATATTTTTTAGGAGAATGACGGTTCATCTCAGGGTCAGAATTTGTAGGCCCAAAGTACTGTTGAGTAGGTGCAAGCTGCTCGGTGCGAACTGCTCGAAATTGATGCCAAGTGAGGATTGCTGACATTTTGAATGTTTATAGCTCTGTAGTGAAAATCAGAAATCTGTATTGGGCATGTCCTACTTTTTCATATTTTATAAAGCCTCTCACTCAGCCTACAAAAATTCAAATGCAGCCACTTGTTCCATTGGCGATTCAGATGTTAAAAATTCATGCGAATATGAAAGAATGAGAATTCAGCCACATATTGGGAATATTTTCCTATAAATTTAATATATATGTACAAAAGATATTTCAAATTTGCATTATATTTGAATGCTATATGAATAAAGTTTTTATTTGTAAGAGATTTAGATGCTCTCTACAATATAGGGGTGGCAATTTTGGATCCAATCCATTTGATTATTGGATTGATATGAGTCAAGTAAGGTGGATTAGGTTTAGGGTATTTATTGGGTATCACTTTATCAATTGCTAGGGACATAGGGTTAGGATTTGAAATCATCATTCACCGCTACCAGACGCCTCCATATAGGTTATGTTTGGTTTTGGTGGGCGTTTATTGAAAAAACAAAAAAAAAACCACCACATCAGCACCACGTAGGCCTTGGCGCTTATTATGCTTGAAACCACTGTTGGGTTTCACCATTTATCAATTAAAAATAAATACTTTCATTTCTATGCATGAAGTGCTGGTGAAAAGTCCAAATTCTTGTTTCCCCTAACGCCTTAGCATTTCTTGAATTGAAATGCTTATGTGGCATACTTGCACACTTTAATCTGAAGTGGAGAGTAACTTTATGTATTACTTGAAAGCAAATAAAACGTTTAAAACAATATTTTCAAATCAACGTTTATCTAATAAACGCCCAAGGAACCAAACACATGCATAGTCTTCTTCACTAGTCATTCGCTTCTTTAGACCTAAAAGTGCTAGATTTCAGTGGTCACCATTGACAACATTTCCAATATCATAGTCGAACTCCTTTTTAATATATAAAATATAAATATGTAATAATAAAATGTCTACAACTATGAAGTTTTAATTTATGTAAAATGATACAAAACTCACAAAAACAAAGCATAGTCTGCATAGAATAAAACAAAATTGTTGAAGAAAAATCTTCTTTCATTCATTCTCAACTCATCGAATGACAACATATATAAACACATGCGATGAGGTCAATATATGTGATGAGGTCAAAATATGCGATGAGTTCAATACAGTTGCGATGAAGTCTTAGAAAAGATCACATGGTGAACATCTTTGGGTTGCCAGCCTAGCTTTCTAGAATGTTCGATCTTTCTTTAACAGAATCTTGTTCCATTAACACCCTCCCCCCCTCAAGTTGGGCATGAAGGGAATGAATGCCGAACTTTCCAAGTAGATAATGAAATCTATCAGCTCCTAAGGCTTTGGTAAACAAGTCATCTGATTGCTCCTCTATTGAAAGGTGAGAGGTTTTGATTGTCTTGGTTTGAACATGTTCACGCAAGAACTATTGAGAGGTTTTGATTTCCAAGTAGATGATGAAATCACTTGCTATATGCTTTGTCCGTTCGTGAAAAACTGGATTTGCTACTATATGAAGAGCCGCTTGATTGTCAAAATGAAGCAATAATGGCTGAGTGATAGAAATATTGAGATCAGTAAGAAGGCGTTTGAGCCAGAGCAACTTTGTAGTGGTAGAAGCCATTGTACGATATTCCACCTCGGTTGATGAGCGGGCTACAGTGTTCTATTTCTTTGTCTTCCAAGATACAGGTGAATTACCAACAAAGATCACATACCCCGTTGTAGATCGTTGGGAGATTGGACAACTACCCCAGTCAGCATCACAATAGGCTCGAACAATAAAGTCATTTGTTGATGGTAAGAAGAGGCCTTTGTTTGGAGAGGCGGAGAGATATCTAAGGATGCATAAGGCTACAGTCATGTGAGTTTCAGTTGGGTGTTGCATATGTTGACTAAGGGCATGAACAGAGTAACAGAGTCCTGGTCGTGTTATGGTTAATACACTAATTGGCCAATGAGATGGCGGAAGCGATTGAGGTTCGAAAGTAAGGAACTCTGCTCGTCAAACTGTAGTTGTTGTTCCATTGGAAATGAAGTTGGGTGATAACCAATCATGTCGGCTTCATGTAGTATGTCAAGTAGATACTTTCGTTGATGTAAAAAAATTCCAAATGAAGAACGTTGAACCTCAGTCCCCAAGAAATAAGTGAGTGATCCCAAATCTTTAAGACGGAAACACGTGTGCAGGTATTGCTTTAGATCATTAATTTGATCAAGATTACTACTAATGATGATCAAATCATCAACGTAAACAAGGACGTCAATGTATGAACCTAAATTAGAGGAGAAGAAGAGTGAGTAGTCATTTAATGAGTGAGTGAGCCCATACTACTTGAGGACGTCTGAAAAATTTTCAACCACTATCAAGAGGCCTATTGTAGACCATAAAGGGATTTATTTAGTTTACACACTCGGTTGTTTCCTGGATTAGATAGACCTGGCGGAATTTCCATGTAGACTTCCTTATGGAGATCACCATTTAGAAAAGCATTGTTAACATCGAGTTGGTGAAGGGTTCATCCTCGACTGGCAGCAACTGACAAAAGGCACCGGACGATAACTAGTTTGGCCACCGGTGTATATGTGTCATGGAAGTTCATACCTTCGACCTGAGTGTACTCCTTAGCCACAAGTCTTGCCTTATAAAGCTCAATTGTTCTATCAACTCGATACTTGATTTTGTACACCCATCATGCACCAATGGCTTGTTTTCCTGTCGGAAGTTCAACAAGGGTCCATGTGTTATTTTGATTCAATGTTGAAAGTCCATCTTCCATAGCTCGCCACCATCGTGGATCAAGAACTATTTGATTATATGTGTGTGGCTCAATTGGGGTGTGCACATGATGAAGGAAGCTGGTTGAGTACCCAGAGAATTGACAATCATAATCCCTTAAGTATGCTAGAGTTTTTCGTTGTCGATGAGGGTGAGTTATGTTAGCTATGCCATGGATAGGACAAACCTGATTGGGTTGGACTGAGTCAGGTTGAATCAGGTTGGGCTGAACCGTTTGCTCATCATGTGGAAGGCAATCAATGTTGTTAGAAGTGGGTAATGGTATAACCAACCCTAAATTGGTGAAAGGTGTTGATTCATTCACCATGAATAGGAAATGATTTTCA